AGCCCGTTTGAGCCCATGTCAGGACTCCGAGCATGGCAAGAAAAGGACAGGTCCAGGAAGCAACGAGCCTTTGGCTGTACTTGGATGCCGATTGTGGCCACAAACGCTGTGCGGAACGCTGCTCCGAGGACGAAGGTGTGGTGTAGACCCTGGTTGGATTCGCAGATGCAGCGAATCAGCGCAGGCCTTTGCACATGACCGCCAGTTCAGACATGAAGCGTCCTTCTGTGGTGACCAAGACAAGCTCAGCGCTGCCAAAGGCAGTTTCCCGGACCTTCAGTGCTGGCCCTTTAATAGGTGAGTCATGCAGCACCATGAGTCAGAACCCACAAGCATAGACATGATCCATGCATTTCTTGATCCGAAAATCCAGGAACCAGCGCAAAAACATCTTACGTGTTTCCTAACGTTCGCAATTTCAGAACACTGTAGAAGTAAAGACATATCCCTTGAGGTTGGTGGTATGTCCCCTCCCTTCGGTGCGAAGTTTGTCGCATGTCCCCTCCCTTCGTGCTCGTAATGTGAGGGCCCCTCGAGGTTAGGTGTGCGAGGTTTGAAGGTTTCAGAGGCATCTTGGTTGGTCCTTGTGTGTGCGACAAGACCGAGCGTGTTCAACTAGCATCCTGCTTTTTTGGGACCGAGCGTACTCAACTAGCACCCAAGTTTTGGGGACCGAGTGCGTGCAACTAGCATCCTGCTTTCAAGTTTTTGTGGACCAGAGTGTGTTCAACTAGCATCCTGCTTTTTGGGGGCCGAGCGTACTCAAACAGCACCCCAAGCTTCGAGGTTTGTCGTATGTCCCCTCCCCATTGTGCTCGTAAGGTTTGGTGAGGGCCCTAAAAGTTTATCGCACGTCCCCTCCCTTCGCGTTCGAAGGGTGACATCGCAAGAAACTAGCACCCCATCTACGCCCTGATGACCAATTAGCTTGTGCCATGGCGCAAGCTATTTGGTCGCTGGGGAAACATCCATGGCGTGTTAACACTTCAAAGCGCTGCCAGCACAGGGATAAACATCTCCATGTACTTAGAAGCCACCTCTTTTTGGGAACGTGTTTTACTGGTCGCAGGGGTATATTCACAACCCTTACAGAGCCAGGATTACGTTACCAGCACAGGTTTTGGGTTTCAGCGTAAGCAACTAGCACCCCATCTGCGCCCTGATGACAAAATAGCTCGCGCCCGAGCACCCCCCTCTCCCCCACAGAATGGCCAACTTGCAAGGAGAAGTTTGCCACGCAAGGCTCCGAGGCATGACGGTTTTTGCTTCTTGGCAAACCTTTGTATTTCCCAAATGCCCAGAAACCAATCCGGACACGCCTTCTCGACATTTTCCATTGTCCTCGTTGGTGTCTTTGGTTGCCAAAAGCAAAAGAAAAACCGGGCGTTTTAACCACCCCGGCGCGAGCTATTTGGTCGCTGGCCCGAGCTGAAGCTTTGCTCGAACTGGAGGATGCGCAGACCTTGCCGAAACACACCCTGAAAGTACCGGCGCCGTGAGCACTTATTGGGTTCGCTAGACAGCATGTGCGGACCGCTGTTCTGGCATCCTTTCCTGCAGGACTGTGAAGCTTTCTTGCAGCGCAGGCACGTTAATTGACCTCTTGACGGCTGAGGTGGCTTCGTCAAAATGGCTACGATTTGTATTTGAGCGTACTCAAATAGCACCCAAGGCTTGAAAAACCAAGCGTGTTCAACGAACATCCTGCTTTGCAAGACCGAGCGTACTCAAATAGCACCCAAGTTCTGGGGACCGAGCGTGTTCAAGTAGCATCCTGCTTTTTGGGCACCGAGCGTACTCAAACAGCACCCAAGTTTTGGGGACCGAGCGTGTTCAACTAGCATCTGGCCGTTTGGGGACCGAGCTTACTCCAATAGCACCCAGGCTTCTGGGGCGGAGTCTGTTCAACTAGCGTCCTGCTTTTTGGGGACCGCACTTTCGGAACACTGTAGAAGTAAAACATGTCCCTTCGAGGTTTGTCGTATGTCCCTTCCCTTTGTGCCGAGCGTGTTCAACTAGCATCCTGCTTTGCGGGACCGAGCCTGCTCGAACATGTTCAACACCCCAGGCGCGAGCTATTTGGTCGCGAGCCCGAGCTATTTGAGCATACTCAAGCAGCACCCAAGTCTTGGGGACCGAGCGTGTTCGAGTAGCATCCTGCTTTTTTGGGGACCGAGCGTACTCAAGTAGCACCCAAGAATCGGGGACCGCACTTTCAGAACACGTATGGCCCCTCACTTAGTGCTCGTAGGGTTTCGTGAGGGCCCTAAAAGCTTGTCGTATGTCCCCTCCCGTCGCGCTCGTAGTGTGACGTCGTAAGCACCTAGCACCTCTTCTGCGCCCTGATGACCAAATAGCTCGCGCCATGGCGCGAGCTATTTGGTCGCAGGGGGCACATCTCTGGTGTTGTAACACGTTATGACATGTTTTCCGGGCTAGTGTTCGGCGCCCAAAAGCCTGTGCCGGTAGCGTAATCGTGGCCCCATAACCCGCTAGCATTTTCAAACGGTTACAGTAACCTCCAGGGCCCTCACCCTACGAGCACGAAGGGAGGTGACGTGCTACAAACTTCTAGGGCCCTCACCAAACCCTAGCACGCAAGGGAGGGGACATACGACAAACTTCCGAGGGATATGTTTTTGCTTCAGTGTTCTGAAAGTGCAAACATTAGGAAAGCATAGGATTTGTTTGCGCTCGCACACCCTGTAGAGCCACGATTACATTACCAGCACACAAGGGAAAAACATCTCTGTTTACTTAAACCCCTTTTTTTGGCTAGAGCAAGAAGAGTTGGGTACCAACCCTGTTTCCTCTGCGCAAAGGTCTATAGTACTTTTGAAGCGCAAAGACATCCTATGTTTTTCCTAACTGAGGCTGCACACTGGATTCTGAACCTCCATGCGCTGGGAAGCCTCCCTTTCGTGCAGCAGCTGATTGCCGACGGCATGCTGGGCCTGATGGAGGAGTTATTGCCGGAATCCGGCACCATGCAGGGGGCGTTGGCCTGCACGGGGCATCTCAAAAAATGTTCTGCGCTCACTTACCAAGTCTCAGCGGCAGCAGTGGGTGTCCTTATTGGTTTGAATGCTGCACCATGAGAGAATGCCGCGCTATGATCCCGAATGCCCAAACAAACTAGTTCAGGATCTGGAGATCCTTTGGCTGACTGATAGTAATCCCAGCCAAACCTTCGCGGAAGCAGAGAAGCAGCTCTGGACTTTCTTCGAGACCAAGACCGCCAGTTCATGTCTGCGGAATGACCTATATCACCTCCTGCGCTGCGGCTGACATTCCGATCGTCCGACTGCAATTTCCTGCCCAGAATGCTCAACCAGCTCGTCAACAAAGCACATGAACCAGTGCCGGGAGCCAGGGCCTGTGACACTGGCAGCCACGAAGTCACCACGCCCCGTCCGCAAGCAGCACAAGCACATTACATACCAGCATGTCATTTCACGAGCAGCGGTACTACCCCGAGATCGGGACTGCATCAAGCAGTTCAAGCACATCTTTTCTTCATCTACGAGCATGTCATTCACAAATGGCAGCACCATGACATCGTCGACTTCGTCAAGGAGCGCAAACACATCTTCCACATCCACGTCGAGCTCATCTTCAACAACAGCATCAACATCAAGGTCGTCCGCGTCCGCAAGCAGCACAAGCACATCGACTGCGAAAAGGTCGTCCGCAATCAGCAGCAGCACCAAAGCCGACAGCCTCACGAAAGGTCTCAGCGGAGAGCTCCGCAAGAGAGAAAGAGTACTGCGGCCCGGCTGTCAAAATCTGCGTACTGCAGCGGTTCAGGATGGTTCGCGTTCGCCATTTCAACTGCTTGGAGGATTTCTGTGTTTCATGGGGATGCTGGGTTGTGGGATGTTGTGGGGTTTGTTGCCCAACGCGGCATGTGCGACATTCTTGTTACGATCGTGTCACTTCGGGATTTGGGGCGAATCTTTTGGCATGCAAATGCTCCATACCGCACTGTCCAGACCATGAATGTCCATGCGCTCGAAGCATGGATCATGGTACAACATTCCATGTTTATCAGTGGAAAGACGGTGTTGAAATCATCTCTTCTGGCAGGTCTGCAAAGAACTTTTGGCGTGACCACACTGATCAGATTCAGCTCTCACAAAGCTATCAAGATGCCTCGCTTGTTCCTCGAACCAGTGCGGGCCTTGGCTCAAGTCTCAAAGAGGCATGACTTTTCGCAATGTTACCGCACCTGTGTGTCCTCTTGGTAACGCTGGCACATGTCTCGCAAGCCCGAGACGTGTGCCCCTCCGAGCCAGCCATCCCTTCGAAATCGCTGCTGCAAAAGTTGTGGTACCCGCTACAAAGCTCTCTCACATCCAATACAGTCGAGAGCAGGCGGGTCGAGCACACTTTGGATGCGCAGATTTGCAGGGTGGCGTTGTGCCGCGATGAGCACTATGTCGACTGCCCAGCATCCTGGGCAACTCGGCTCTAGGAAAATTTGTTCGTGACGTTCATGTTTGATGGTTGGCCTGGGCCGCGGCATTCTGCTGTTGCTTACAGGATCCTATTGTCTTCTTATGAGGTTCCTTATAGGTTCTTGTAAGCGAGGCCAATAGAGGCTTTCTCGCAGTTGCTTGCCACATGAGGTTTATATGGTGCGGGCCACTGACCCCAATGGTTTCCGCGTCGTCAGCTTGGACAGAGACGTGGGACAGCATGTCGAGTCAATCCAAGTCTCTGAAGGCTGCGCGAGGGTGGTCGTTGTGGATGAGGACTCTTCGTGCAACGCAACCCGAAAACCTAAACTCTAAGCCGTCAATGCCCAGTGTCGTGTTGTGTCAGTGCTGCACTGCTCCTCTGTGCCGCTCATGACGTTGCGTGGCACAAGGAAGACCCGGACGAGACGAAGATTTGCACCCACCCAGGCACAAGCCCATTGTACCTTCTTTGATGTGTACCTATAGACCGTGTTCCTTAGTTTTTGGGGAGTGAGCAAGGAAACTGCAAAACTGGGGGGGATGGGGGTCCAGAAATCCAGTCTCGCTCACACGATAGGCTGCCCTGAGCTGCCGAATGACTTCTCGGAGGACGTCGGTGGCCTTCAGCTCTTCAACGCCCAAGGCTCACCTCTTTGGTCCGGCGAGCAGCCAACCTGCACAGCGGAGCTGACCCTGATCAACACTTGGGATGGTAAGGAGATGCAATGTTCCCTTGAGACGAAGTCGGTCTTCGGTAGGACCTGGACCGCAAGAGACATGAGATGGGCCTGCGGCGTCACTTACGCCAAGGATGAGCTGCACTACGAGCTCACAAAAGTAGCGCTGAGTTCGGGCTGCGATTCTGCTGTGATTAAGGGCGTCAATGGCAAAACGAGGTACGTGCCAAGAATTCGGCAGATAAGTCAGCACCATGATTTCTACGAGGCGCATTACTTCACCCTCACGGATGATGCGGATGAGGTCACAGAGTATGCGACTGACTTTTCCCTCTACGCCCATGATGGAGGCTTGCGACCGATACAGAGCATCTGCCCCGCAGGATATCTGGTGGTGCCTGGGCAAGGCACGATCATCGATACGAAGGAGGCTTTCGAGGCTTACGCGGCCTGCGAGAGGTTGGATGCATGCTGTGGCCCGGCAAAGCACAGTGTGAGAGCAAGTCGCGCAGCAGAGAGGGATGTAGGGAGATGGGCTGGACATGCTGCAGGAATGAGAAGGCAACACACATGTGTTTTTTCCTTCTTTCGAATAAAAGGAGTGTTTGAACAAGTTACGTCACCTGACCACCATGTGAGCATGTTGCCGACACAGGGCGAAGGTTTCCAAGAAATCAACAAGTAAGGAGCAGCGCGCCTCAGTCCTGAAGCGAACGAAATTCGGGAACGAAGTGGAGTCATGGGCGCATGACTCTTATGCCAGCACCAACAATAAGCAAATCCGCCCTGTTGGAAAGATCAGCTGGCCATGTACGAGAGTCTTCGTCGAAGGGCTTGTGTGGGAGAAGGTCAGACAGCTGCTTTGAGCTTGTGATCTCACACCGTGTGTGTGTGTGTGTGTGTGTGTGCGTACACACATGCACATATACATACACATACACATACACGCATACACATACGCATTCGCATACACATACACATACACACACACACACACACGTGTACATACACAGACGTACACGCACATACGTACCGACATACATACATACATAGATCACATACACAGGTCACATACACATACGCATACACATACACCTACACCTACACACCGACACCGACACCGACACCGACACCTACACCTACACCTACACACATACATACATACTTACGCATGTGTGTGTGTGTGTGTGTGTTTGTGCGGAGTGTCTTGGGGCCGGCTCAGGTGGTCTGACAGAGGGCGAGGGCCTTCAATACACCGATTCGGTCCGAAAGCTGGACATGGTGCAGTGCGACGTGAAGCCCGCGGATGGCAAGTACTTTGCCACCTGCATCAAGAGTGCCAAGGCCGAGGTGGTCAGGCAGAAGGTTGCACTGCGGAGTGCGAACGATCCGTTTGCGAAGCTTGCCTTTGGGCAAGGCATGGAGCAAGCCAAGAAAGATCAGCTGCTACAAACGCTGCTGGCAAGCCAAGACTCACAACTCACCTCCTCAGCGATTCACAACTTCATGACAGTCCTGGACGGCTACATTGGCTTGAGATGTGGGGGGCTCAGTCCAAAGTGTTGCGAAAGTTGATTCCTGTGCGATTGGCGTCTCCCTAAACCTTGCAAAACGTGGACGTGCCCACAGTGCTCTGAGGCGCAGCCTCCAAGTTCGAGGACGAGATCCTGTCAAGGATCACGGCCGAGATCGGCCTCTTGACCCAGGCAGCCATGGCTGTGGAGTTCGGGGCCGGGGGTACTCACGAGACCAAGTGGGGCAGAGAACTTGCCGACAACTTCCGGCACTCCGGCTGTGAGCAGGCCGCCCATCCAGCCTATTTGGAGGTTCATGGCTAGGTTCTAAGCATGGAAAACACACTTCCTTTGAACTTAGGGTGCTTCTGGCCCCTGCTTTTTACTGCCGCACGGCAGTCTGAGTTTGGTTTTGTCGTCTGCAGGCCAAGCACGTTGCTGGCTTGCCGCCGCTGCGCTCGCCCGGAACATGCGAGAACCTCCGGCGCTTCGACTTTTACACGGAACATTATAGGCAGCTGCCCGGCTACCTGAAGATGTACTTGAGACAGTTTGCCTTGGTGCTTGCTGGGACACTTTACAAGGATTCCAAGCCTGCGTTCGCTTTTCTTTCGTACCCCCTACCCTTTGCTTGCGTTCTCCTTCTCTCCCTCTCTCTCTCTCTCTTTCTCGCTCTCTCTCTCTCTCTCTCCTCTCTTTCTGTCTCTCTCTCTCTCTCTCTCCCTCCCTCCTGCTTGTTTCTTAGTCACGTTGATGACTCTAGCTATCTATTCCTAGGCTTAAGACCGTCGCCGTAAACATTGTTCTATCCCCCCCCTTCCCCTTGCAGATGGGTCTCACGCCACGCCCTGGAAGGAGTTTGCAGAAGATGCTTATGACGACGACCGCTATTCCATCTTGACGGACTGCTTCATCAGCGAGAATGTGGCCAGCGAAAATCGTTTTGAGCTGTCCAACAAGCTGAGGGAGCAGATGCTGGCAAACCCGACGGAAAAGAGGTGGCTCTATCAGCGAGTCCTGACGACCTATCATGACACTACTTTGTGGCACGACTTTGTTGAAGGTCTTGATGTCCAGAAGGTGGCTGACTTCACCACCACATTCATCTTGAGGGCGCACCATATCACACGCTTCCTGTATGGCGAGATTGATACCAAAATCCCTGAAGCGCTGGGACAGCTCTACAACTTGCACTCTTTGCTGGCTGTCTTCTTGGAAGGAGTGCCTGCATCTGTCACGGTGACGATTGGTGGTGACAGCAAGGCAGTGGGGGACTTAGCGCGCCAATTGCTGAAGTGGTTTCTGTTTGAGACATGACATCCCGTGTACAGTATTTGCAACTTGCATGAGACATGGGGAAGTCTGAAAGGTTGCGCTTGAAGACGTCATTGCCTTCATATCCTTCCTCAGCAGCGCCCAAAATGCTGTACACATGCCCGTGGAAACACTGTTCGCTTCCGACGAGCAGTACTCCAAGAATGTGGCGGCTGTCGAGAGGGTTGCTGCTGCCGTGCTGTTGCAAGGCAATGCCACGACTTCCAACACAAGAGAAGTGGCGACTCGGGATTTGAGTGTGAAGGCCGCCGTAATCAGGAAACTGCTCCTCGACACCGTGTTTTGCGAGGACTGCGCTGTGCTTATGGGCTTGAGAGTCTTGAGAGGGCTGCGCTTTGGAGCCGACTTACCGAATTGCCTTCACAATGAGGCTTCAATCAGGTTCTGGCGGGCAGAGCTGCGCCCGACACGGATAAGGCCCCAGATCCCCGAAAAAGATGCCTCCAAAGATTGGTTCTGCTCTTTCGGGCGCTCTTGGGGGCCCCGAATGAAAGAGACGAGACGATTCGCGTTTTCTGTGACTATCCAACATGCCCCCTTAAGACCCTGTGGTCTGGAATGCCCCTGCGGTCTGGAAAGGAAACCGAGCTTTGGAGGGTCAATGAAAATTATGATTTGAGCCCTCTCCTGTGGTGGAGCACGGCGCTCGTGGGTCTTCACAAGCGGGAGACGAATCATGAAAAGTGATCTCAACCCACACGACAAGTCGGAGAGTCCACAGGCGCGTGGAGGTTCACGGCTTGGTACCTTTCAGGATGATGGCTGGCTTGCGCTGCGCTGGCGCGGCCACCTCGGCTACCGCAAACAAACAGCTACAGAAATGAAGCTACGCCGTGTGAAAGTTACGTCTGCAGAGATGCAGTTAGATTGAAGCATGTGGTAGCCGAGACATCGGATTGAGCGCAGCTACGAGCAGTACTCCAAGAATGTGGCGGCTGTCGAGAGGGTTGCTGCTGCCGTGCTGTTGCAAGGCAATGCCACGACTTCCAACACAAGAGAAGTGGCGACTCGGGATTTGAGTGTGAAGGCCGCCGTAATCAGGAAACTGCTCCTCGACACCGTGTTTTGCGAGGACTGCGCTGTGCTTATGGGCTTGAGAGTCTTGAGAGGGCTGCGCTTTGGAGCCGACTTACCGAATTGCCTTCACAATGAGGCTTCAATCAGGTTCTGGCGGGCAGAGCTGCGCCCGACACGGATAAGGCCCCAGATCCCCGAAAAAGATGCCTCCAAAGATTGGTTCTGCTCTTTCGGGCGCTCTTGGGGGCCCCGAATGAAAGAGACGAGACGATTCGCGTTTTCTGTGACTATCCAACATGCCCCCTTAAGACCCTGTGGTCTGGAATGCCCCTGCGGTCTGGAAAGGAAACCGAGCTTTGGAGGGTCAATGAAAATTATGATTTGAGCCCTCTCCTGTGGTGGAGCACGGCGCTCGTGGGTCTTCACAAGCGGGAGACGAATCATGAAAAGTGATCTCAACCCACACGACAAGTCGGAGAGTCCACAGGCGCGTGGAGGTTCACGGCTTGGTACCTTTCAGGATGATGGCTGGCTTGCGCTGCGCTGGCGCGGCCACCTCGGCTACCGCAAACAAACAGCTACAGAAATGAAGCTACGCCGTGTGAAAGTTACGTCTGCAGAGATGCAGTTAGATTGAAGCATGTGGTAGCCGAGACATCGGATTGAGCGCAGCTACCCCGAGCCTCCAAACTGCCAGCTTCCACGATCACACATCTATCCCACTCCCGGACAGTCTGTTTCGACTCAGCATCCATGTATTTTGCAACCTTGGTCAGCCACGTCATCCTTGCGCTGGGTCATGCCAATCTTACGCGAACGCTAACCCCACAGCAGCGGAACCGAACATGCGCGGCCAATCTTGGGGTGGTCAAGGCCGCCGATGAGTCAAGCTGCGATCCACCAACGAACGGAAAACACCTGCTCAATGACACACAAGTTGGGGGGACTGCGCCCTGCTAAGATGTGATGTGCTTCAGTTGCCAACCACTTGTCATCTTGTGTCGACATGTACCAGTTCTTTCATGTGCTCCAAGAGGACGTGGAAGGCTGCGGCATGACCTATGCGCCCGAGGCCGTCAAGCTGGATTTCGGCATTCCTCCCGATGGTTCCGTGTGGTCCAAGGCAGGTGATCACACTGCCTGCCGAGGTAAGGACTACGATGATGACAGCAGCAACCACTTCGTAGTGCACGAGAATGTGGGCTTTCCCAAGGCATGCATGGATCTTTGCACGCAGGAGGGGGGGTGCCAAGGCATCCAGTATAGCTACCTCAGCAAGCAATGCCAGCTGTGGACCCGGTCGGGGGGCATTGAGCACTTCGTGGGTGAGGCAGGCTCCGTCTGCTACGTCTTGGCTGTCAAAGGCGTCGTGCCGGTGAACATTGGCTCACCCGGCCTGGACATCTCCAAGAAGTGTGTGGACTTGGACCAGGCAGTCACATGCTCCAGGGATGCTGGGGCAAGGGGACAGCGGCTCTCAGGCAACAAGCGTCCGGAGAGCTTCGCCGTCTCGGTCACAGATGCTGTAAAGGTGTGCGCTGAACGCACGGATGCAGCAGCCCCGATGAACCCTTTTGTCGGTTGGGCCTGGGATCTGGAAATCGCATGCACCACGCACCCAGACAGCATCACAGTGGTCCTCGGGAAAAGCGGCTGGGGGCAGGCCTGTGTAAACATGCGCACACCAGTGCAGTGTTCAGCTTTGTCTGGGGACTACGGGGCACGCCTTGGTGATGATGACCTGGACACACTCATGTTCCACGTAACCTCGGAAGCACAGGGCTTGGGAAGCCGAGTTTGCGCAAGACGCCTGGACAAGAAAGGCGAAGGCTGGACCCTGGATTTGAAGATCAGATGCCGACCGCTAGCAGTGCGCTCTGCGCCCATTCAGAACGCGATCCACCAGTCTCTCGACGAGTTTTTGTACAACCTGGACTCACTGAACCAGTCAAACTTGGGTTCTGCTTTGCCGGTACAAGCACTCACCCAGAAGGTGTGTGATAGCCAGAAACAAGTCAACTACCAGGACCAGTTCCAGGAGGAGTACACAGACGTCTCCTCATTGCGATGGTGCCAGGAGCTTTGCCGACAGAGTGTGGCGTGCCTCTCGCTGCAGTACGACCAGATGACCCGGCGCTGTTCGTTGACCTGCTCGCCGGAGGGCTCCTCCTGGTTACAAGAAGTTGAGGCGAGGACTGGAAGACGGGACTTGGACCTCGCGGATGCTGTCGTGAAGTTGGCAGGTCTACAGAACTACATGACCAAAAGCGTGGCCTGCGAGGGCAAGGCGCAAGCGATGTGCAACTTCGAGAAGTGGATGATGGGCTCTGCGTTCATTCAGACTTTTTTGGATGTTGCGCCTGTCTTGGAGAGCGCCGTGGACGCTGCAAGGGCAACGGCCTGGTACCCCATCGCGGGGCGGAGTGCGTTCGGGCCGAAGTTTCTGATGGCTGGGCCGGTTCGGCTTGTTTACAAGATCGGCAGCGGAATAAGGAACACGAAGCTTCTTGCACCTCTGGAGAGGTTCGGCGAGAAGGTAATGCAAGACCTGAACGACTACGAGACAACGACTACGAGACACTGGCCCTGGACGTTTGGGCCAATGAATTGTGGGATGCAGGGGTCGACGGGTTCAAGGCCTTCTCCAAAGGCGCCGGGCCTGCCTTGGAAAGAGCGGGCGCCTCGGTGAAATCCGGGGCGGCCAAGTTCATGGGCAAGGTGCGCAGCTGGCTCGACACGTCGGAAACCGCAACCAAGGAGCTTGCGGAGAATCTTGGCAAGATGTCGAAGTTTGCCAAGGTTGCCCAGGTCGCGCTCTTCCCCCTGAGCCGTTGCCTGAGAGGGCCTCTAAGGGCTGCTGATGTGAGAGTGGGCTCTGATACAGGGTAAATTCAGGGTAAATTCGCCTGCGATGCCTCTCTCTCAGGCATCATCGGGGCAGTCAGCGACTTCCACTCGATGGTTCAGTGCTTTAGAAACGGAGAGGTGGGGATGGCCATCTTCAACATGATCAACGTCATCGGCGGTGTCGTCAGCGCAGCCGTTGGGATTGCCACTATAGCAGTGACATACTTCGGCACAGCCGTGGCTGCATGCACCATTCTTGCAGGCAAACATCTGAGGGCCAAACGTCAGTCCCACTTGGTTTGCAAATGTCAAGAAATATAGGCTCGTGCCTTGTTATGCCCCAAAGAGTTTCCCTCAAACTCCTGAGATGGCTCTTGTCTTTAACGTCCAGGGTATTGTACCGCCTTAGTCCTTGAAAATGCGTTGCAGAAAGAGACGCATAGATGAAACGCGGCTAGCCCAATTCTATTCTGAATTGCTGCCACAAGCAAGAAACGATAGGGAAAAAGGAGAAACATCGAATTTCACGCAGATGATGATACTAATGTCTTGTAGCGTTGGTTACATGTCCGCGAAGTGTCCTTCCTGCAGGGCCCATTGGCACAGCCGTGGGCATCATCTTTGGGGCCATTGCAGTGATTGGAAGCATCATTGTCTCCATCATCAATGCACCACCTGACAGCGACGAGCTAGGCGAGGAGTTCTGCTGCATGGCCATTCGGGCTTTCCTGGATGTAAGCAGACATGAAAGCGTGCCCGAGACGAGAATTGTCATGGACGTCTTTGGGGCGGGGAACTTCCAGGAGTTTGCCGGAAAGAGTTGGGGAGACTGCGATGACTACGCAAAAGCCGGGCTGCTCCAGAAGCCACAGAAGCCACAGAATGCGGCGCCGTGGCGCAGCCCGTGGCGCAGCCCGTGGCGCAGCCCGTGGGTTACCAGCCCTTGGAGCGACCTGCGCATGCCGGGTACGCCGGGCGGCCATTGCCAGCCCGGCCCCGGGCTTTGCGCCATGGTCTGGGACGCCTACGGCTTCCTGCAGCCCATTCGCTTTCAGGGCACCTTGCAGGCCTTGAAGGACGCAGCAGCGCAGCTGTGGCCGCGAGGTACAGGCCCTGAAGGCCAAGAAGTCGCCCCGAGCTTCCAAGATGCCTTCGGCGAACCGCTGACGGAGCAAGCCCTAGAAGCCCCTCTTGCCATCAAATGATGAGAATCAATTTGGGGTCTCTGTCTGTCTTTCATGTCAGAGCACGGTGCAGGGATAACATGAGAGCCCCCACCGTCCTCTTTGGCTGAGGCAAGTCTGACACGGGCGATGGCGGACCAGGGCCATGCGAAACGTGCAGAGGTGCCTCAGGCAGGGAATGACAAAGCACAGGCAAAGCATGGCGAGTGCGCAGCAACGGTGTTAGCAGGTCATTGTCTCCTGGAAGAAGCCTCCGCTCAGGCAGGGTTGCAGGAGCTGTGTGCATGCGGATCAGACTGCTTGAGCAGCTGCGCTCTGCAAGGCTGCCAGCGATGCTGGAGGAGGACGTGCAGCTAAGATTCCAGAAGGTGACGGATTTGAGGAAGTTGGAGCAGAGGTCTTTCTCCAACTCTTCCCTCGACCAGCTACTGAAAGACTTGGAAGACTTGATGCGGAATGCCAAGGGCCTCTTCGAGTGTCTGGAGGGGCTCCCGAAGAAGTATCACCTCATCGAGTTTCTGAAGCGGGTTCTGGAGCCCAACATGCCTCAGACAATCTTTTCCACCTATGTGGAGCCCCCGATACACAGCATCGAGAAGTGGCTGAGGCAGGGTTGGGGCGAGAGCAGTTCGAACTGCACACTGTAGCCTTCGGGGGGACATCCTCACGCAATCCTCGGTGCCTAGCAGGTCACCCCCTTTCTGTAGTAGTCATGCAGCGCAGACCGTGTCGTTGTCATGCATCCATCTTGCGTAATGCACACCGGCAACGCGTCTGAGACTCGGGTACGTTGGATCTGTCTCACTTGATCGCACAAACAAAGAGATGTAAAGAAAGCAAATGCTCAAGTTGCTCAGGGGTCAAAATCACGAATGCTTTTGAAATCTTGGCAGGGAGCTCACCGCCAAGTACGAGACGAACAGTTTCCAGATGGGTGTCCACATTGGCACCCATGAAACTGTAGTGTTTGGCCATGGACTTCACCGCGCCATTCCAGTTGAAATTGGCCCTAGCGAGCCAGGCTCGGCTGAGAAGTGCGTTCGAGCGTCGGCCGCAAAGGTGCAATGCGACCCACGTGGAGGAAGCTGGCCAGGCAGCTTCACCGTGACTGTCACGGAGGGTAACTTGGTGTGTGTGCGCAGGACCGGCACGCGTGCACAGCTAAAGAGTTGGCTCTCTTCTCTGTGCACCTGTGCACCCGAGTCCCTGTAGGACTGATGCGGATGGCTGGAGCTTGGCCTTGAAGATGACTTGCGCGGAAGCTTCAGAAACCGATAAAACAAAATGTGTCAAGGCGCGGACAAGCAGACTGCAGTGTGACGCAGATGCTGGCAATCTCAACAAGCGCTTGCAGCGCATGAAGCTACAGGTGGGGCACACCTACGCTTTCCACAATGCCCCTCAGAGGCGCTTCCTGCGCATGTCCGAGTGGGATGTGGACAGCAGCGGCGAGATGGATGCGAACGCCTTGCCCATATGGTGGACCTGGGAACAGTTCTTGGTGGTGGATGCTGGGGACGGCCGGGTGGCCCTTCACAACGCTGCGTGGAATGCATTTGTGCAGATCACTGACCAACACGATGTGAAGAAATCCTGGCAGAAGAATGCCAACGAGCTACCCGCAGAGTGGCAGTGGGAACGCTTTGATGTGGTCGATGCTGGCGATGGCAAAGTGTCCTTCAGAAGCCATTCGTTTGGCTGGTACTTGCGAGTCAACGGTGGGACCGTAGATGCCACCACAGAACCTGTGGGTGATTTGGAGATCTTCACGCCCATAGATTTGACCAATACGCCTTCCCTGGTTTTCGGCCAAACTTACGCTTTCCACAATCTCATGCACAATCGCTTCTTGCGCATGACCGGCGGCGATATAGATAGCAGCGACACATGCAGTGTAAAAGATCTCCCCGCATCATGTTTGTGGGAAAGGTTCCTAGTGGTGGATGCAGGCTACGGCCAGGTGGCGCTGCAGAACCCTGCGCATAAGTCCTTTGTGCTGGTTGGGGATCAGGGTGATGTGACGAAGAGCGTGCCAAGAGACTCCAGTCAGCTGTCTAGCGCAAATTGGGAACTGCGAGAGCGCTTCCAGATTGTTTTTGCTGGAAACGGGCAGGTCGCCTTGAGAAGTGTGTTTTCTGGCCGTTTTCTGAGCGTGGAAGGCATCCACGTGAATGCTCACCCAACACACGTGGGATCCTGGGAGACGTTCACAGCTGTGGGTGTGCCAGGTCCGCTACAGGTGGGGCACACCTACGCTTTCCACAACGCCCCTCAGAGGCGCTTCCTGCGCATGTCCGAGTGGGATGTGGACAGCAGCGGCGAGATGGATGCGAACGCCTTACCCACATGGTGGACCTGGGAACAGTTCTTGGTGGTGGATGCTGGGGACGGCCGGGTGGCCCTTCACAATGCTGCGTGGAATGCATTTGTGCAGGTCACTGACCAGCACGATGTGAAGAAATCCTGGCAGAAGAATGCCAACGAGCTACCCGCAGAGTGGCAGTGGGAACGCTTTGATGTGGTCGATGCTGGCGATGGCAAAGTGTCCTTCAGAAGCCATTCGTTTGGCCGGTACTTGCGAGTCAACGGTTGGACGGTTGATGCCACCACAGAACCTGTGGGTACATGGTCGTCACAGGCGGGAGCTTGGAATGCTTTCGTACCTGTGGACATGAGCCAAATGTCTTTGGCTGTCGAAAACGCTTTCATGACACCTGTGAACTCTGCGATCCTTGGCAATCAATCTGACGTTCCTCCTTCTGCCACCTTGGCTGCTTCCCTCACAGAGAATAGCCACTCTCCACAAGCCAACAGACCAAGTGGCCTTGACGCAGGGGAAGAGCTGTCCGGGCTGTTATTGTGAAAAATTAGTTTTTGTCCGTATTTGCCATGCACTCTTGCGCCTTCTGCTCATTCCAGGCGATGCGGTTGCAACCTTCGACATCAGTGTCAGGACTGCGTGCCTGGGGTTGAGGGTGCCAACTTGTCTTTTTGGCAAACCCGCAGGAATGGCAACGAGGTTTGCGCCCGCCGTACCGATCATGTCGTGGACTGGAACATCGACTTGAGCGTTTCGTGCCAGGATCCCGAATCGTGGAAAGTGTTGGGACTGCTAGGTCCTAGTCAGGCTCTTCAGAAGGGTTCTGTTTGGGGCCCCTGAAAAGGACAAGTCGCAACACCAGGTGGTGGTCATCGGCACGAGTGCAGAGAAGAAGCGGTGTGTGAAGGTACATGCAAGTAGAGACCTTACATGCCTCGAAGATGCGGGGAACTCTCCCTTCCGCAAGAATAGCGATGGGCACCTGGACCCTCCTGGGACCGAGTTCGAGATCACGGTGGAGAAGATTGCTGGGCACGGGACCTACGTGTGTGCGAAGCGCGTCGATGCGGACTCGGGCTGGGCGATGCACTTGGCAGTGGGCTGTTTCGCTGGCACCCTGGTGGAGGACATCTCCAGCCTTTCAGATGGAAGCTGGAAGATGTTGATCATTGATGAGGCGGGGGGGGGGGGGGGGGGGGGGGGCAGGATCTGATGACCTGATGGCGAAGCATGAACTTGCTTTTTGAAGTCCTTTTGTTGTCAGTACTGTTAAGTCAGTCTACTCATAATACAAATGCGCCCCCCAATCCCCCATCCCTCTGCAAGGCCATGGCCGAGCTGCACAACCTCTTTCGCAACCCGGGCTTCGAGCCGACGCGGTGCGCCATGGAGAACGTCGTCGATCCTGTCGTTGAGAAGGCAAAGGTTCTGGTCCAGGATACCTTCAAATGGCTGGACCAGCTGGTGCTCGATCTCATCCAGGAGTCGGCCGCCTTTCTGGGAGGCTCCGCTCGCCTGCTACTCGAGGTGCTCGGCCTAGCCAGCTCCGTCGAAGCCTTGACGGACATCATGAACGGCAAGGCCGCCGAGGCCGGGCGTGGGAGAGGGTGGGAGAGGGTGGGAGAGGGTGGGAGAGGGTGTGAGAGGGTGGGAGAGGGTGGGAGAGGGTGGGAGATCATCAAAAGGTATCAAAAAGTGCCAGGGCTCTGCTTCTCCCCGCCACACCAAGGCGTGCGACGTCACCCTGAAGGAGACCTCTGAGCGCATGTACCAAGGCCTTCCGGTGCCGCTCTCAACACAGACGCAGATGCTCATGGACCTGGTCCCAGAGGTCGCAATGAGTATCATGAGAAGCTTTGCAAGCACCTTGCTTGACTTCTTGTCAGACACGTTCATCCAGCAGCCCGCCAACTTCATCATCAACCAGATACAGAGCGCACTCCGCGCGGGGATGGAATATCTTACCGGACTTTGCGGCCTCATCCCAGAGGTTGGCGGCATCATTTGCATGGTCTTCACCGGTGCTCTGACAGCTGCCGAGGAGTGGCTTGGGGGGCCTTTGGCCTCGTTCCTCACAAACCTAATGAAAGACATTGGGGCGAAAATCCTGGACGCAATCTCTGGGTTTACCAACTTGGTTGCGCAAGATATCCAGGACGCTGTCAACAGCATCCCCGCGTTGATCAGTGAGCTTCTTGCCAGCTTCGCAGGAGAGCACCAGTGGCTCAACGTCATCTTGCACGGCCCCATCATGGAGCCTCTTGTCAAGGTGTGCGGGGCTGTGGAGCTCACTGTTTCGGAGTGTCTTTTTTACGTATTTGTTTGGGGGGTCAATGGTATGACGAACGTGTCAATTTTTCGTTGCCGGCAATGTCGAGGCCCTGACGGGCATCATGCACTTCTTCAGCTCCTTGGTCGCTGGTATGTTCCCAGGGCTCCAGGAGAAGTTTGACGCCTGCAAGGCCCGCGTGGAGAAGCTCGTGACCCACTGGCCCAATCATAACCACGCATTGCTGTCTTACAGCGCCAATCAAAGCGACAGCAGTCAAAGCAGCAGGTTGCTGGAGGCCAAACAAAAGCAACTGCTGCAGACGGACCTTGCCAGCGTTGCGACCACAGTGAGGGCGCTTCCCCTTGCACGGAGGCCTCGCGAAGCCACAGCCGGTGGATCTTGCCGGCCCCACACAGGGGAACTGATTTGCCTGCATGTCCGTGATTCCTATGGCTTCCGGCAGCCCCTTCTCGTGAAACCATCTATCAAGGCCATCCGTGAACGTGCCCTGTTGCTGTGGCAGCAGGAAGATTGTGTAAGGCTCGACGTGAACGGCACCAAGATCACCGAGGCCAACATGGAGTCACTTGGAAGAGTGGTCCTCTACTTCGAGCACCAGAACGGAACGCCGATGACACTGACCGAGCACTCGGCCCTGCACTCGGCCCTGGATGCAAACCTGACAAACCAGACACTAGGATCCCGACCAGTAGCCATTTTTCAGTTCATGTCGGCCTTCAAAATACAGTCAGTCAGTTACACACTGCTGTTTTGGGACCTCCCCAGGCCAAAGCACGTGCCGGACGTGTATCTTGGCTGGTTGCGGCTCGGCAGCCGTGTCAAGCGCCACTTCATGAAGTACCTGCAGGAGAAGAAGCCTACTGAAGGCATATCCTTGGTCCAGTTTGACTTCTTCGCAGGCGTGCTGGCCTCGCAAACCTAGAAAACTGGAAGTCTGCAACTTCCTTAAACTCTGGACCCTGAACCCTCAAGCCCGCAGCAAGCCCCAATTTTTCGGTAAAACGGCTGCAGGGCTCGTTGACTGGGTGGGTGACGGCATTGAGACCATTGGCACCTGGGCCTTTGACACCACTGCGGATGTTCTAGACTTGTTCGGCGCGGAAGCAGCTGCAGATTGGTTTCGGGACCCTCGGGGAAGGGTTAAGGGTTGAGGGGCTGGGGTTTGGGTTTGTTGCAAGTCATGATTGAACTTGTCGAGAGGACTTGGCAGACCTGCCGCCTCTCCTGAACCAGCTGATCGACAAAACCGTTCCTTTCGTGAATTGTCTTGAGTCGCTGCCTGAACCCATTCACTTCCAACAGCTTGTCCACCTCGCTCTCAACTTGGAGGAGCTGCCTCAAACCATGTATCAGCATGTTATTCAACGGCCTTTGGACGGTTTGATGACCTGGGCTGACATGCTTCTTGGCAGTTTGCTCAGAAACGAGCAGTTGGTAGACGTGCGCGTTGGCCCCTCCGGGTCAAGCAAGAAGTGCATAGAAGGCCGCGGGAAGCACCTCGTCTGCGCAGCAGATGCGGCCAACGAGCAGAAGCGGCTGCAGGGTGGCTCGGGTGGCACCTTTGAGGTCAGGGTGGAAGGCGACCGAAGGGTGTGCGTGCAGCGCACTGATGTGGATGCTGGCTGGGCCATGGACCTGGGCATTGCCTGTAAAGACACATCCCTGCACCACGTCGTCTATGTGGGAGCCTCGGACTGGGGTCAGAAATGCGTCCACGTTTATGCTCGAGGACTCTACTGCCCACCGGACGCGGCAGATCGATCCATTCGGATCAACTCGGATGGATGGGATGCCCCGGACGACTTCCATGTGTGGACAGAGGCAGGCTGAAAAGAAGGGTTGGCCAAGAAATCTTGCAGGCTCTGTACGAGCTGTGCTGTTCTGAAATCTAGGAAGTTTTGGTTGAGGCCTCGGATGTTTGCTTCGCTAGATCCTTTTTCGGAAAGCAGGGGGACTTCATCTGCGTCAAACGCACGGACGCGGACGCGGGATGGAGCATGAACTTGGCAGTCGAATGCTACGCAGACTACTTCACCGAAGACCTAACCGCACTTGCAAGTGGAAAGTGGAAGCTGCCCATGCTCAACAAAGTGTGGGATCAAGTTCACCAGCTTACGCTTCTTCCTGGCATGGAGATGGGCCGCTGTGGCTTTGAACATTTCCTGCTGCCCAGCCTTAACAGACTGACTGACAGTTTTAAGTTGATCTCAGCTCCCAAACGGTACAAACATGTACAAACCATGTCTGCGGCGGCCAATCAACTCAGGCTGCCTCTGAAAGGCGAGCTTTTTGATACGGTTCAGAAGGGCTTCCAGCTGGTGGATCAAGTCATCATGTGGATGGTCGAAGGCCGGTTACACTTCCTAGTGTTGCACGGCACGGAAGTTTGTACTGTTGCAGTTATTCCCGTCAGCATATACATTCTGATTTTCATTGCTTTTGCTTTGTGGCGCCAAAAGTCTTAATCTGCGTATTATTCTCACTAGCACTCCCAAACGGTGTGGTTGCACGATACAACTTCCCGCGCTGAAAGTGAAGCATATCGTTCGCGAGTCGCGAATCCGTTTCCGCACTCCCTACTGTACATCAGGAGGCGCGGTTAGCCAAATGCAAATAGACCGTAGAGATCGGGGGAGCTACTAGGTGCTGCGTGACAGTTGCTCCCCACAGTCTGGGCGACTTGCGCGTTGCATCGCGCCTCTGAACAATGGTATGTTTCAGTTGCACGTCTTGTCAGGCTTGGGGGAGCTACTGGGCCAAGCCCTACAAGGCAGTTTGTGCGCTGCATTCCGGTTCAGACATGTCACAATTTGTCGGAACCTGTGATCAATTTCCCCTTGCCAGCGCAAACTGGGCAAGGCGTTTTGTGGCTGTTGGGCTTGCAGGACGCCGTGGCAGTGGTTCTCAGATCCAAATATTGCTACAGTCATTCTGCGTTTACCTTTTCATATAGCATGTTTTTCCCATAGCCTGATGCTCGAACAAAAAGGTTGGAGACATCGTCAACAGCGAGATCGCCTTGCAGTGCGAAGCGACGATGGATCGAACACTGGATGCACTCATTGCCGAGCAGGCCAATCCCATGACTGTCTTTGGCGTCAAGGCACGCCCACGCTTTATTGGTGCCTGCTTGGAATCACAAGAAATCCTTCCAACAGGCTGTATACGGAAATCATTTGTGCACAGGTGCAGCATGTGTGCGGTTTGTCTGTGAATTCGCGTGTGCCTGTGCCGAGGGCAAGGTGATGCTGGAGGCCCTCCCTAACATTGCTGCCCGGTCTATGGGTACCCTGGTACGCTACCTCCTCCGAAAGCTGGGAAACAAAGTCGTGGAGCCTTTGGCCTTCCAACTTGTTGGTGGAGTCCAGGCAGCCATGGGGGCCGCCGAAAATGGCGTCGACGGACTCTGTGGGCTGATCCCAGTCGCAGGTGGCATCGCTTGCTCCATCCTCACAGCATTCGTAGCCGTGGCCCAGAAGTTTGTGAGCCCCATAACGATGAACTTCATCGTCGACGTAGCGCAGAGGGTCTTCGACATGATTGCCAGAGGAATCGAAGAGATCCTGAGGGTCATGTTGCAGACAGGAGGACGCATCCTCGATGCCATAGTGGGTGGGCGGTCCGTGGACTTTGCCGCAGACATCGCCACGAAGCTGGTCGAGTCCTTCAAAGAGGAGTTTGCTTGGATTGGAATCGTCCTCTACGGCCCAGTCATGTTCACCATCGAGGCGGCTTTCAAAAGCATTGTCGCCTTCTTCATGACAGTCGCAGATCAAGTCTTTCCAGGCCTCAAGACAAAACTGGAAGACTGTGAGCAGCGTGCTACCAAGTTGCAGTTCACCTGGCGTAGCGCAAAGCTGGGTGCTTGAATTGAGAGACGGTGGCTGCAACTTCGTGGATGTTCGGTCGGCTCTCGAATAGTCGCCGGAAGTTTCAAGTGAACTTTTCAAGCATGGTAGGAAATGGGACGGTCTCAGGGCTGCTGTGCTTTCACTCAACGCAGAGCCTGCCAAAAGATGAACTGGAGAGATTACTTCCAGGTGCGCCTCATCTTCCATGCGAGTTGTGGCGTTTTCGGACACAGCGCGCGATCCACGCATAGGGGAGGGAAGACTTCCCCATATTTGTTGCAATCGGACACTTGAATGTATATTTGTCTGACAAGGCTTGCTTGGATCTTCCTTACCCATTACACTTCTCGTTCCGAAAGTCATCCAGTAGTCACTTTGTTTTTGCAGCGATTTTGCTGCAAGGCTGGCAATGATCATGAGAAGGAATAGGGAATCAGAGGCATCTCCACACCCCATCTAGCATTTTGCCCGGTTTACGTTGAGCGCTCTCGGGCGTGCTCGTATGTCCGCATAGAATCGTGCGTGTGCGTATGGCTGCCTATTTATTTATTTTGTGGCAGACTAATGAGGATATTCAATATTAAATCTTCATGATTCAGCATCGACAATATAAATAAATTCATAATGTGATATTCTCCTTCTTAATATTATTAATTGATGATAATGAAAATTTATTCTTTTTTTGGAATTAATCTACTCTATAAAACGCTACGGTCAAACCAGCCCTATGCGGTGCGTCACGCCTCGGAGTGCCCCAGCCCCAAAATTTTCCGGAAATTTCTGGACCCCGGCGAGCAAGCCGCTTTGGCCTACCCGGGACCCAAAATTTCCGGGAAATTTTGGGGCTTGGGCTGTGCCCTTTGAAAGGCTGGGCCTCTTCGACGGCCGCAAGCCGGATTCGCTCCCCTAAATTTCTGGAAAATTTCTGGTTCCGGGTAGCCCGAAGCCTCGGTCCCTAAATTTCCGGAAAATTTGCTTCATCGCTTTCCTAAATTTTCCGAAAATTTACACACCCAAAATTTTCAGGAAATTTAGGAAACGGATGCAGCCTGATCATGTTCAGAAGCCACGGCCCAGCTCCCTAAATTTCCGGAAAATTTAGGGTGCTGGGTGGCCGAAGATGTCGAAGCATTGTTGACCGCTTGAACCGTTGAGTTCAGGTGTTGATCATTTGCCATGTTGCTGCATGCTTTCATTGCATGCTTTCATTGTTTTCAATCGTGCTTTGTTTTGTGGCATTACAAAGCTAAAATATTAAACAGGACTTTTACTTCACTTCCAAGATGAGCGCATCACCTGGCATTACCAGGATATTACGAGCGTGCTTTGTTTTATGGCATTACAAAGCGCATTACCTGGCATTACCAGGTCGTCGTGCGTCGTCGTCGTGCGTCGTCGTCGTCGTCGTCGTCGTCGTCGTCGTCGTCGTCGTCGTCGTCGTCGTCGTCGTCGTCGTCGTCGTCGTCGTCGTCGTCGTCGTCGTCGTCGTCGTCGTCGTGCGTCGTCCGTCGTGCGTCGTCCGTCGTGCGTCGTCCGTCGTGCGTCGTGCGTCGTGCGTCGTGGGTCGTGCGTCGTGCGTCGTGCGTCGTTCGTCGTCGTCGTCGTCGTCGTCGTCATCGTCGTCGTCGTCGTGGTCGTCGTCGGGTGTCGTCGTCGTCGTGGTCGTCGTCGGGTGTCGTCGTCGTCGTCGGGCGTCGTCGTCGTGCGTCGCGCGTCGCGCGTCGTGGGTCGTGCGTCTTGCGACGTGCGTCGCGCGTCGTGCGTCGGGCGTCGGGCGTCGGGCGTCTTTGTCGGGCGTCGGGCGTCGGGCGTCGGGCGTCGGGCGTCGGATGGCGTCGGGCGTCGGCGTCGGGTATCGTCGTCGTCGTCGGGCGTCGTCGTTGACGTCGTGTTTCGGGTGTCGCATGTCTCGCGCGTCGTGCGTCGTGTATGGCGTCGTCGTCGTCGTGCGAAGTCGTCGCCGTGTGTCGTCGTCGTGACGCGTCGGCGTCGTCGTCGTCGGCGTCGT